CGACGCACGGTGGGCCTCAGGCGAAGCAGGCTCTGCATATGAAGGCGTCAGTGGTTGTGCTGGAGCGCGCGCGCCCCGTGCATCCGAAGGACTTGTTAACGCAAGGGGGGGCCCTTCTTGCGGCAATCGTTGCAAACGCTTTCCGCGTCGCGGGCACGTTTTTGGATCGTCGCCTGGCAACCGTGAGAATTGTAGCGACACTTCGCGGTGAACGCGGAGGCAGCTGTGGCGGGAGGAGCAGCCGGCACTCGCAGGCATTGGGCGCATAATCCTCCGCTTGTGGGACAGCTTCGTCCAGAGCAGCCTGGAGTAGAGCAAGGCAGGTTCAGTGCGAGGCACAGTGGGCATTTCTCATCTCCAGGGTCGTGGCAAAAGTTGGTGCACGTGGGAGTGTTGCAAAACTTCGTCGGTTGAGGGGGTTGCAGACGAAGCAGAGTGGTCCATGCACGCAGTGTGCTCGCATGTGACACCCTTGCGACCCGCACGGCGACAGACCCATTCGGCACGCGATGCATTTAGCAGGGGCAGATGAAATGGAATAATCGTGCACACGTAGGCGACAGGCCGGGGTGGAACATTCCACGTCGTGTGTCTCGTGGGGGGCCTGGGCAGGCGCATCCCCATCGGTCGCGCTGGAGCAGAATTTCGAAAATCAGTCGGAGCGCATGGATCGCAGAGTTGCTGGCAGGCTGCCGACCCCCGTCGGCGGAAGCAGGCGACGCAAGGAAGGGACCCAGAGGCGCACTGTGCACGCAGAGTCATCGATACGCGAGCGTCTCGCTTCATGGGGCAGCCTGTAGAAGAGCAGTGCAAGCGTGACTGTGGATTGTAAAGGCAACTATTATTATTATCATTATCCATCCGGCAAGCTGGGTGTGCACCAGAGCATGCAGAAGGCGGCGCGCGTATTGTGGCAGGACAGCCAAGCAGGGCGTGGCGGCAAGGGAGGCTTCCATTGGCGCATGAGAAGCATTCACAGGCAGTGCGCTTCATTGCGAGGTGTCGGCACCCGAATCTGGCATTGGTACACATAGCCCACTCTCTTTCGGCATTGTGGCACGGGTCTGCGTAATGCAAAGCGCAAAACATAGGAACGATGGATTTGCCGAACACGGGTGCTGGGGGGATGAGCAACACCGCGTGGACACGGTAGTGCACTGCATGCAAAATAATTCCCGCAGTCGTTCCTTACCTGATCGCTTTTGCAACTGGGCGCGAGAGCATATTGGATAGTTGTTGCATGCACGTTTTGGGGAACAGGCCGCTGCTCGAGGCATCCCGTCAGCAGAGAGCGCGGACGACCACAGAAGATAACGCCAAACGTTGGAGCCAAATGGCTACGGAATGGAAGTGTTCAAATGCTCGCAGAAGCGGCGGGGGGGAGGGGGGGGGCAAGGGAAAACTGTACTCGGACAGCCTATCTGCAACGGATGTCACGTGGGGTCGTCTTCTGGCTCGCTCTTCGCGCAGCGTCCCGCGTGCATTGAAATGTTCCGAGAACTGAAAAGGATTCGCTGGCTTGCAGGGCAAACGTGGCAGTTTTCAGAGGTCGTGTCCAGCTGGGATCTGCCACAAGGGATTTTGTAAGCGGGGAGGGGGGGGGGCTTCAACCGGCGTCAGGACGAGGCATGGAGGACGTGGCATGCATAGGCCGTCATACGCATGGCATGGATCAGTTGACATTTGCACATTGCATGGGCCAGGCGACGGGAAACGGAGAGGCTAGCAGCAGGCTGCAGTGGACTGGCGACGTACGATAGGACTGCTGCCAAGCCTGGCAGGGAGTTAGGAGAAACAGTGACGCAAACCCCCGCAATTGAGTATAACAGTGATGGGGGCATCAGGAGGGCAGGGGAGAAGACAGAGGGGAGGGCAGTGGAGGGGTGTTGGGGGGGAGGGAGGCGCCGATCCCGGTTGCGCTGGCCATGTAGGCTTGGCTTGCGTGTTGCGGAAGCAAAGCGTGGGATGTTCCGAAGAATGCGTCGAAGAGGCACTGATGGAGCGGTCTGCAGGACGGGGCATGTATAGGCTGACGTACACATGCTACGGATCCGTTGACATTCGCACATTGCATGGGCCAGGCAAGGTTATCGGATAGGTAAACAGCAGTCTGCCGGTGTTGTTCGACAAATCATAGTATTGCGGGCAGACCTGGCGAAGATAGATTAATATTGCGGCCATTCCTCCTTCCTCTTTTTGGTTGTTCGTCCTCCTTGTTTTTCTCATTCTCTCCCTCGAGAGCGATCTCTCGTACCGGAAACCCTGAAGACTCTCGAACTTATCTTCGATACTGGTCTGTGATGGCGCCGTTGGATCGCTTCGGTGGGTCTGCGGCTGAAGGCCGCCGAAGACGTCTTCCCTTCCTGATATCCCTCTTCCTCTTCCTCCCTCATCCTCCTTCTCCTCTTCCTTTCCCTCCCTCCTTCTCTCCTCTCCCTTCTCCCGCCTCTTCTTCCCCCTTCCTTTCGTCCTTTTTGTCCCTCCCTCCTTGCTCTTTTCGTTCCATCCTCCCCCCCTTAGCCTCCTCCGTTTTTTCCTCTCTCCTGCCCAGCGTTGGCGCCGTCACTGCGCTCGCGCGCGCGTGGGCGCGGCGTTTCGGGGCGACGACGACGACAACGACGACGACGACGACGACGAGGACGTCCACGACCCCTGGGGAACTTCCCGAGGGCGCCGATCGCCCAAGGTGGACCAACGTGGCCCAAAACAGACCGAGGTGATCGCCCAGGCGGCTCCAGAGAAGCCCTAAGACGGCGGAGGCGCGTGCTGTCAAAGCGGACGCTGTGACAACGCGACCTTCCAGTTGGCGACGAACCTCAGGCTCAGGAGAAGACGCTCAAGGAGACCCTCCAGGTACTTTGGCAAGGACTCCAACTGGTCCGTGAGGGCCCGCAGACATATCGAACCAAAAACCCAAACCGATCCAGAAGAGCGTTCGCACAGTTCGGAAAGGGCCCCAAGGTAGCGGGGGCTCGCGATGTTAAAACGGCGGTTTTGACATCGCGATTTTCCGCCGTCTCAGTTTTGTCCAGGAGCTGATCCTCTCATCTTCCCGCCCAAACATACTCGCGGCGTGATAATAACGACGGGGGGCTTCTAATTTCTGTTGGTCCCCGGGAAGCGTCAACGGGCCCCAAGGCTGCGCCAGCGCCACATGCGAGGTTACACAGCGCAAGCGCAGCTCTCTTGGCCGAGCCGGGGGCTCGAGGGGCTCGCCCGCAGACCCGACCATATTGGCCGAGACAGCAAACATCGCGCTGCAAAAACACGCATCGGCTGGGAGATGGAGGATGATTGTGGGAATGGAACTCGATTCAACAACGAAAGCCGACAAACGACGGTGATCTCTGGTGGGGCCCAGGGGTCTCGGCGCATTAATGCTTGAGCGCCTGAACAATTCTGGAATGGACGTGTCGGTCTCAACCAAGTGTGGGCCCGAACGGAAAGACAGGGGGGGTGGAGTGTGCGCCGGGGGCGGAGCGTGCGCCGGCCTCCTCCCAAGAACGCCGCGCGCGCGACGGTGGCGGGCAACCCCCGTGGATAGATGACCGTTTTTCGGCCAATACGGCCCGAACCCCGCCGGGCACTTTGAAGGGGCGAGTCCCGGGCTTCGGTGCATCAGCAGGGGGCGCGTGGAACTTCCCAAAAACTTTATGATCATGTGAATCCTATCTTTCGCCGCTACCCTCCCCCCGGAGAATTCATCTGCGGCGCTCCGGGGGGCGGGGGGCGCGCCGGCCCCCTCCCCAGTTCCCAAGAGCACCGCGCGCGCGATGCCGGCGGGCAATCCCCGTGGAGGGTCCGACGGTGGTCGGCCAATGCGGCCCGAATCTTTCGGGCGTCTTCGGAGAGGGGCATCTGGGACTTCGGTGCATCAGCAGGGGGCGCGCGGAACTACCGAAACATTGTATAGACCTCCAAATCCTCTCTACCTTACAGGCCAGTGGATGGTAAGAGAAGAAGACACTGCCGCCGCGTCAGCCCGCATGCGCGGTTACAGAGCGCAAGCGCGGCTCTCTTTGCCGAGCCGAGGGCTCGGGTGGCTCGCCCGCGGACGCGACTATATTGGCCGAGCCAGCGGACATCGCGCTGCCCAAAAAACAAAAAAAGAACGCATCGGCCGGGAGATGGAGAATGACTGCGGGAACGGAACTCGGTGCAAAAACGGAAGCCGACAAGCGACGGCGATCTCTGATGGGTGCCGAGGTCTCGGCGCGTTAACGCTTGAGCGCCTGAACAATTCTGGAATGGACGTGTCGGTCTCAACCAAGAATGGGCCCGATCGAAAAGACAGGGGGGGGGGAATGTGCGCAAGCCGCATCCCAAGAGCGCCGCGCGCGCGACGGTGGCGGGCAATCCGTGTGGGGGGTTCAACGTTTTTCGGCCGATGCGGCCCGAAACCCTCGGGCGTCTTGGAGAGGGGAATCTGAACTTCGGTGCAATAGCCTGGGGGCGGGCGGAACTCCCCAAACACGTCTGATCATCTGTGTCCTATTCATCTTACAGGCCAATGGAATGTCATTCGTCGCTATCCTCCCCTGAAGGGTCCATCTGTGGTGCTGGAGGCGGGAGGGGCGCGGTGAAAAGCTCGCCGTCCACAGAGCGCCGCGCGCGCGACGCCGGCCGGCAATCCCCGTGTAGGGGTCAACGTTTTCGGCCAATGCGGCCCGAACCCGGTCGGACATCTTTGGAGAGGGGAGTCTGAGGCTTCGGTGCAATAGTCGGGAGCGCGCGGAACTCCCCAAACACTTCTGATCACCTGAGTCTTATTGATCTTACAGGTCAATGGCATGTCATTCCCCGCTACCCCCCCTCTGAAGGATCCATCTGTGGTGCTCCGGGGGTTGGGGGGTATACCTGGACGAACGGCTGGTTTCTTAAGGCGGGCGGTTCTTACGCCGACCAGGCGCAAAACAACGGGATGAGTGGACTGCCGTCTGGGGGCCCAGAAAGAAAACGCAATCGGGAGAGTTGGCACGAACGAAAAGACTGGAAAGTTTCTGGACATGTGGCTTCAGAGAGAGACCGTGACAGAGACGGTCAGCGGGTCACTCCGGGCACGCTGGACAGTCCAAGTCGTCGTCGTCGTCGGCGTTCCCAATGACATCGATGGAGGAGCTGGACCAGACGTTGATCTGCCGGGGGGCCCGTGGCGCTGGGGCGTTGCCGAAGATGGCCTTGCGCGCCGTGCACGACACCTCCGCCCTGTGGACGTGCAGCACTTGGTTGGTCCGCGCGGTGGTCGCGTACTTGCGCCAGACCATGATGTCGAAGCGGTTGCCGGACGCGGACGCCACAGAGATCAGGCGGCGGGTTTCTGTTTTCTGCTCGAGCTGACCGACTTGGACGACTGCAGCCTCGAAGTTGAACAAGATCAGGCCGGAGAAGGTATCGGGGATGTTTTCGAGCGGGGTGTACACAGGCACGGCCCACGCGGTAGGCTGCGGCGCCTTGGACAGCAGGCGCAACGAGCACGAGTGGCGCCCGGGCGTCTGGATGTCCGAGAATTGCAATTCGTAGCGGAGCGCCAGACTGGCTGCTTGTTCGTGGTAGAGGTAGGTTATCCTGTCGGAGGGCGGCGTCAAGCAAGCTTTGCGCGCTGGGTAAGGAGCGCTGATCCAAAGGAGGTTGCCGGCGGCCCCAAATGCAGACTGAGCGTCGGGGGTGAGGTTCCAGAGCGACGTGGCAAGAGTGTCGCGCTGCCCGAAGGTGTCGCTAGAGTAGGTGAACCCCTTCGGCCCTTTGCCGACCTTGTCATCCCCGCGGTAGGTCGTCGTCTCCTCGATGAGCACTCGGAAGCTTCAGCCGGTGAGGCATCCGGCGCTGTGTGCGACGGTATTGAAGTTGGACACTCTGTCAAAAGTGATGGGCAGGTCAGTTGGCTTCTGGCGAGCGCCAATGGGCGAGCCCATCAGCGCAGCGTCGCCAGGCGCAGAGAGGAGCTTCTTCCATGCGGGCTTGGGCTTCTTTGGTGGCGTCGCCAAAGAAGGCCTGGTGGTGCCGTCGCGGGTGGCGATGCCGGAGGCGGGCGCTGGCGAGGCCCATCGGTCGGGGTGGTCGGGGCGGTGTTGGTGCTAGCGCGGGTGACGGTGACAATCAGACGGATGGCGTCGGGCGCGCAGTCGCCGTCGTCGGCGTTGGAAGGGACGACGGCTTTTTCCCCCAGGCGCTAACGAAGGAAGACCGACTCAGCACAGGTGCTGTCGTCTTAGATGCCCAGGGCGTCGAGGGTCTTGCGGATAGCGGGGATGGCGGAGTTGAACGCGACGACGTAGTGCCGGCCAGAGCAGTGGAGCACTCCGTGGATGGCGCCTGCCTTCCACGCGTCCAGGAAGGTGTCCGAACCCGAGTCAGAGAATGATGATGGATGCGTCACTGGGAAGAGCTCCTCGACACCGTAGTGTTGCAAGATCAGGAGGCCTTCCGCCGTGGACAGCTCGATGATGTTGGGGCTCGGTGTATCCTGCTCCGTGATCTCGAATGCGCGGTCGGGAACGGAAGCGTTTTCCGGCGTGCGTCCAACGGTGAGCAGAAGCCTCCTGACGTCTCGGTTGGTTGGGGCGGGGTCTGCAACCTTCTCGGCGTGGTCCGCAGGCGTCTTTCCGTGGTGGTCGGGTTCTGCAAGCATCTTGCCGTGTTGGTGCAAGGGCGGTTCTCCCGTACACCAGCGGTATTCGTCCGTGGAACGCTCTCAATATAGGCCAGCTGTTCAGTCAAGCGCTGGATGTGCAGCCGCGCGCCCTCGAGGTCGAAGGGTTGGCCAGGTTGTGTGGCGGGGGCGTCGTGCTGTGATGTCAGCGCCTGGCGCGGGCTGCGGCTGTGTTTGGGACCGGCTGGCCCCAATCGACCTCGTCGTCGGACTCGCTGAGGCTGACGTGCATGCGCTGCGTGGCCATGGTCGCGGAGCTTTGCGATGGGAGTGAAGCCGCAGAGCGCGGCCGACTGCAGGGGCTGCTGGAAGCTCCGTCGAAAGATCACGGGCAATATAGATTTTGAGCCAAGGCGCCAGCGGGTACAAATCCATCAATACCAAACAAGCCGGGTGGCTGGAATACATGATGTCCAGGGGCCATCTTGGAGCTGTCCCCCCCCCTGCGGTGACCGATCTTGCAGTCGTTTGGCACTCTCTTGGAGCAGCCTTAGGAATCTCCTGGAGCTGTCCTCGGGCCCTCTTGGGCTCCTGGAGCTATCCTGGTGCCCTCCTGGGGGGGCACTCGGAGGTCTCTTGGGCCCATCTTTGGGGCTCCGGGTGCCGTCTTGAAGCTATACGGTGCCGTCTTGGGGCTCGTCTCGGGAGACCCCTGGCCATCCTGGGGCTTTCTTGGGAGCGTCCTGGGCCGCGTGGTCGTTCGGAGGCTCGCGATGTCAAAACGCCGGTTTTGACATCGCGAGCCATCTCCGTCTCAGCACTCTCCTGGAGCTGTCCTCGTTCGTTCTGGAGGGCTTTTTTGGAAGCCTCTTGGGCCTACTTGGGGGCTTCCGCAGCCGTCTTGAAGTCATCTGGGGAAATCTTGGCGTTGAAGACGGTCCGAGGGGCCCCCAAGACCGCCCCAAGACGGCCCAAGAGATTCCCAAGAGGGCCCCAAGACGGCCCAAGAGGGCGCCAGGACGGCCCAAGAGGCTCCCAAGACGGCCCAAGAAGGCCCCAAGATGGGCCCAAGAAAGCACCAGGAGGGGGAGCTCGAACCGAAAATTCAATCCGGCCCAAGAGTGCCCCAGGACACCCGAAGAGACGCCCAAGAGTCCCAAGAGGGCCCAAGAGGCCCTCCAGAGGCTCCAAGAGGCTCCCAAGGTGCCCCCAAGAGGCCCCACAACGGCCCCCAAAGGGCTACAAGAGAGCCTCGAGAAGGCTTCCAAGAGGGCCGCGCCAGGGCTCGTTTTGAACGGCTTTCAAAACGAGTTGTTCCATTTGGTCTGGGGGGCCCTCCTGGCCCCCTCTTGGGACCCCCCGGGAGCTCTCCCACCCTGCCCTGGCCCTCTCTCGGTGCTCCAAAAGGGTTCCCAGAGGGCTCCACGAGAGCCTCGAGAAGGCTCCAAGAGGGCCGCGCCAGGGCTCGTTTTGAACGGCCTTCAAAACGAGCTTTCCATTTGGTTTGGGGGCCCTCCTGGCCCCCTCTTGGGGCTTCCCGGGGGCCCTCCCACCCTGTCCTGGCGCCCTCTGGGTGCATGAGCATTGCATAAAGGATGTAGTAGCTTGCGCCACACATAGTGCTGGGACAACACACTGTATGGGGGGGGTACGCTCCCATCACTGTAGGACAGCGGTGAGTGAGAACGGAGACGATATCACAGTGATTGTGCAACTCGCGTTGACGGGGTGTGTTCATCCTCCGGTGCCATCGCTGTTCGAATGCGAATCAGCTTTCTGTTTGTGTTGCCATGGCGCGGCAGAAA